CGCAAAGTTGTTATCGCACTGAACGGCCGCGAGATCTGGCGAGCTGTAGATCTTGAGCTCCTGCAGCGCCCCCTGGAGGAGAACCAACCACACATGCGTTACAACCAACAGATAGAACCGCTGAGTGAACCACAACACCAACATTGTCGCTCCAGTTATGTCTCTCGTCCCCCTGGCTGGCGATGCATATGTAGTGGGGAAGCTTTGCCCTGTGCGTGTTTTGCTTTTACATCGGTGTGGTCAATCGAGTGTCAAGATCACGCCGTTTCTTAAGCATACGGTTTAATTAATTTCTTTTGAAGGTTTGTGTTTGTTTTAAAAATGGATGGATGATTTTCTTTTTTTGTGGTTTTTTTTACGAGGCACAGTTCATATCAAGACAACAGGGTCAATATCCTTCGATGCGATTCTTTCACTTGCATTTATAAATAGAATTGTGGAGTGCTCCTGACGGAAATCGAGCGTCGGGGTTATGTACTCGACATCTCGACGCATCACGTGATAATCATCAAAAATATATATTCGTCCTTTTATCAAAACGCATTGACATCTCCAGTTGCCTTATTTAGTATAAAAAATATATGTATTTGTACACAGAGCTCCCTCTTCCTCCCTTTCTTATCCACAGTTTCGGAAAGACATATGAGAAAATAGTAATGAAAAGCACACGCGGATAATAAGGCACAACAGCGAGAAACGTTCCTCTCCCAAACAAAAATCAGGTACGGATAAGGGCAAAGAGAGAGAGAGAGAGAGAGAGCGGGACCGTGCGTGTCTCTCCTCCTCCCACGCCAATTGCCAACTGAGACTCGGAGGGCCCGGAGTCTTGAGATGGACTCGTCGCGCGGAAGGTACCTGATGAGCATAAACAGTTCCCCTCTCTCTCTCTCTCTCTCTCTCTCTCTCTCTCTCTCTCTCTCTCTCTCTCTCTCTCTCTCTCTCTCTCTCTCTCCCTCTCCTTAACTCTCTCTCTCCCTCCCTCCATCTCGTAAACTCTCTCGCTCCCTCCTTCCCTCCCCCTCCCTCTCCCTTCCTCCCCCCTCTCCCTTCCTCCCCCCTCTCCCTCCTTCCCCCTCTCCCTCCCTCTCTCCCACCTCCCCCCCCTCCCTCTCTCCCTCTCCCTCCCCCCCTCCCTCTCTCCCCCTCTCTCCCTCTCCTTCCCTCTAACTCTCTAACTCTCACTCTCTCTCTCTCTCTCTCACAACCTCTCTCCCCCTCCCCCTCCCCACCTCTCCATCTCCTTCCCTCTAACTCTCTCTCTCTCTTTCGCTCTTTGTCCCTCTCCCTCTCCCTCTCCCTCTCAACCTCTCAACCTCTCTCCCCCTCCCCCTCATCCTCTCTCCCTCTCCTCTCTCTCTCTCTCTCTCTCTCTCTCTCTCTCTCTCTCTCTCTCTCTCTCTCTCTCCCTCCCTCCCTCCCTCCCTCTCTCTCTCCCTCCCTCTCTCTCTCCCTCCCTCCCTCTCTCTCTCCCAACCCCTCTCTCTCCCTACCACTCCCTCTCCCTCTCCCTCCCCCTCTCTCCCTCTTCCTCTCCCTCCCTCTCTCCCTCTTCCTCTCCCTCCCTCTCTCCCTCTCCCTCTCCCTCCCTCTCTCCCTCTCCCTCCCTCTCTCCCTCTCCCTCTCTCCCTCTCCCTCTCTCTCTTGCCCGTGCCCGGATGGAGATGAGGTTGCCAGCTATCCCCTTTTTCTCTGTCTCTACCCGATGCCCATATTTTTCAAAGGATACTGACGTGGGTATTTATATTTTTTTTCATTATCTCTATTTCTTTTCTGATTAGATCAATCATCTCAGAAATTACGATTTAAGAAGACGTCTTTTTTATTTTAATATGGCGTCTCGTAAGAAAATGCTGTCTACAACCTGCTAACGAAAAACCAGTGCTATGGAGCCGAGTTGCTAAGATGCATCTGAAGCGAAACAGTACTCACAGAAGAATAAAAGAAAAGAAAAAAATCTTTTACGTCGAAATGAAAAGGAAAATCAACTAAAATGGTCGAGAAAAAAATAACTCCCAGACTAATGTCTTGTTTCTTTGTTGTTTACATAATGGAATTTGAATTAGAAAAGGACTTACAGGCATTAAAGATCGCGGGGTTGACAGTTATGGTAATCTCGCGAGGTTTAATCTGTCTTCGGCGTCGAGATCTTGTTATCATCATTAATGTTTTCATCTCTGTTGTCATAGATGTTCTCTCTGTTATCAGTGTTATTATCCTGATCATTAATATTTTTATCGTTATAATGATCATAAAAAAGAGCAGAATTTATGATAGATGTAAATAAATATTGTTGTCTTGTTGTTGCTGTGATTATTAGTATCACATCGTTTACAACTGCCCCAATTAATAGCATCATAGCATCTCTATTATCGTTATCACTGCTATAATCCCAATAAAAATCATGACATTTAAAATCATTATCAATTCATAGCATCATTAATAAATTATAACATGATTATTAGATTATGGAATCATTATCAAACAATAACGTCATCATTAACCATAATAAGTAATTTTCATCACTATCATCATCATTATCATCCTAATCACTGGCGTCATCAGTAATGAAAACAATATTTATAGTAATCTCACCCTTATTATCATTGAAAGGAGGAGCAGTGATAGTTGTTGATAGTGATAATGTTGTTGACGATGGTGATGACAGTAACAATAAGAACAATAACAATGGTGATAGTAGTAATAGTAGTAGTAGTTACAATGATAACAATAACAATAATGATAATGATGATGATGACGATGATGATGATGATGATGATGATGATGATGATGATGATGATAATTATATAACAACAAACAACAACAACAATAATAATAATAATAATAATAATAATAATAATATTGATAACAATAATAATTACGACAACAACAATAGAAATAATGATAATAACAATAATAATAATAATAATAATAATAATAATAATAATAATAATAATAATAACAATAATAACAATACGAATATATTAATATCCATCATCATCATAGTGATAATGATAGAAATACAGTAATAATAATGATGACTATTGAAATGATAATGATGAAAACAAAATTAATGACAACACTGATAAACAAAAAAGAAAACAATCAACATCATTGTGTCATTAATTATCCTCATCATCATTATCATCGTCATTAGTTCCCTCAATATCACTGTTACTATTGATTTTCACGATTTTGTTCACATCAGAGTTTTAAAAAATAAGTTTATTTAATCTAAACCAAATCTACTCGTCACTGCCGTTAACATTATGAGAGAAAAAAAAATAATTCGCAGTTATTTTTATCTGCTCACAATTAGCATTTCCATTATAAAAAGCACCTCTACGATCACAGTCGAATAAAGTCCCTTTCTCGTTATCTTTACCAACATCACTATCTTTCTCCTTGTTATGCAAATATGTAATCTACGTAATTCAAGACGTTTTAGTCCTTGCCATCCTCTCCCGACACAGGAACAGCAAACGAATAAGAAAGGAAAAATTATGTAATGAAAAGAAACGATGTAGCTCATCTAAATGCAAAAATCCACGGTATAAAATCACCGTTCGTTTTAAACCCCCTTTACAACCATTCTCGTGTTTACTATCACCGGGTATTCAGCGAGTACATTCATAAAATCCCATTCACAAAACGAGGTACATTCATAAAAAATATTAGTCTCCGAGTGGCTCCTTTCTCAAAAGCGATTTCGTAGACGTTGCGGCACGACGGGTAAAAGTCTACGGGATTCGTTAGCGTGGGTTCAGACTAGGCAATGTGAATATTTCATTTCATCTGATACATTGGGATATATATTCATCCTATATCCTAAGTTTACTATGTAAAACTGCCGAAAACAAAGAACAGTGTTATGTAAATACAGTGGCAAAATCATATCAACGTAATGTTCTTCTGTATGATGTATGATTTATATTTTCATTTTACAGTGTACAGTCACAGAATTCTGTACTATCTCAAATATATGTAAAACTGGAAATTAATGACGATTACCTAAGCCTGAGCAGATAGCCAGGGTGGTAAATAAACTTACTTAACTTAGCTTAAATTATTAAAGAATACTGTCCTGTGTCCAATAAATGTTAATTAAAATCTGTATTAATGACTGCCCACGCCCGAGCAGGTAGCCAGGCTGAACTTATCTGAACTTACTAAAATTACTGAACTGAACTGAGGTAGAAGTGGTTGCTTCGTCTCATAAATGAATAAATAACAAAATGAATAAATAAAGAAAGGAAGATTAATATACAGATTGCATAAGAAATGAGATAAGAAAACTATACATTTAAATTGACGAAGAACACAACATCGTTTTTAATTCTCAGTCGATGCCACTGTGTTATATCCTGATTTTTTTCAATCCTCCCTCCATTGTAACATAACCAGACCTACAGATGAACCTGCCCGTATCATTATGCATATAGAGGAATCAAGTATAATACAACGAAATTTGCAATCAGGAGGTCCCCAACTGTACTGTCACCTAAGACGAATTGAAATATAAATTTAGCAATGGCTGTTCCTGTTGCTGTTGTAACTATAGCAACATAAACAAAAAATATATGAATAATGATGTGCCCGTCAACAACGAAATGACATTACTCCACCCCATATATCCTCTTTATATTTCTACACCATCAATAAACTTAGCATCTAATAGCTTAAAACTCACTAAAATGAATTAACATCTCGTCAGCCTGTCAGATAGAGACTCTACCCCTGCCTTTAAGTGTTATCTCTGAATCCGATACGTGTCTTAAGGGCGTGTCCTCACCCACGACTTATTAAACACATCTTAATAACATCATCTAGTTTGTGCCTTTGATGTTTGTGATCTCTGTAACTCCAGCTGTGTTTTGATGTTACTTGGAGGGTCTTCTTGGACAAGTCGTAGGGCCTCCTCGAGTGACAGCGATGGGGATAATCTTACGATCTTGTCGGACTGATGACTATGGCAATGGTGAGGGAGATGGTGATGATCATGATGGTGGTGGTGGTGATAATGATGGTGATAGTAGCGGTGATGATGATGATGACAATGATGATGTGATAATGATGGCGGTGGTGTGGAGGTGGCCATGGTGGTGGTGGTGGTGATGATGACGATGATAATGATGGTGGTGGTGATAATTATGGTGGTGGTGGTGACTGTGGTAATGGCTATGGTGATGATAATAATAATGGTGACGGTGGTGGTGATGATACTAATGCAACATGTCTTGATAATGGTGGTGGTGATACGGCTGTTACTGCTGATAATGATGGTAATAATAATGTTAATAATGATCACATCAGCAATAGTAATGACCAAGTAACGATAATGATAAAGATGAGACAGCAAAAAAGAAGGGACAGAAAACGACGGAAGAGGAAAACGTTTGACAGAGACACAGAGAGACAGAGACAGAGGGTAACAGACAGACATACAGGCACACACATACAGAGACATAGAGAAATTCAGAGACAGAGAAAGAGAAAAGGGAAACACACACACGCGTACACACACATACAAACACACACACACACACACACACACACACACACACACACACACACACACACACACACAGGCGGGCGAGGGCGAACCCACATCCCTGGGCGAAAGAGCAGACACACTGCCACAAGTACGGACTTCCGCCTCGACTTTTCCTTCTTGAGATTATTCTTTGTCTTGCTTCTCTCTCTCTCTCTCTCTCTCTCTCTCTCTCTCTCTCTCTCTCTCTCTCTCTCTCTCTCTCTCTCTCTCTCTCTCTCTTGGTTTCTCTTTCCTTCTCCTTCTCCTTCTCCTTCTC